GGGGGGGGGGGGGGGGGGGGGGGGGGGGCGGGGGAAGGGAGGGCGGAGAGGAGAGAGGGACAAAGGACCATCGCCTCTCTCATTTCCTGGGTCCGCTAATGCCGTAGACCAAGCTGAAAGATGCCCGTATTTTTTGTTTTTCACTTGTGTTCATTCTGACGTTACGTTTTCCATTTCGTTCACAACCTGTATCACTAGCCATGCCATTCCTTACTTTCCAAGCTTACTCGATCCAAATACTGCTCTATGCCTTAAATGCAGGGCAGAATATGTTTTCAACAACCGAGTGAAAATTTCTGTATGCTTTTCTTATATTTTCTTATCTGTTCTTCCAACATTTCTTTTTTTTTTTTCTTTGTTTTCTTGTTTTTATCTAGTTCACACTCGTCATATAAATTGGTGGTAGAGTTGCATCTATGATTGTCATACAAGCGACATAGTCTGCTTTCTATGTGTTTACAGCTAAGGGATGAAACACTAAATATGTCCGATGTATCCGTGGGTGCATTGTGATGTTTAAGTTCATTAGATAAGACTCTTAATATTTTGTGTGTGTGTATATCAGCATTGCTGAATCAAATGCCAAATTCTTTATCACGATGAGGTGCGTTATTGAAATTTGTGTTGGGAATTCACACTGCCAGTCGAATAAGGTTGACTTTGAACGTATTAACAGCTGGTACTTTTGATTGTTTTACAGCCACAAGAACAAGTTGTTCCGAATGTGAAAATGCTACAGCGTGGAATTGTTGCCTGCCTGAATTGCCAGCAAAATCAGGTTTGTCTTCAACAATTTTGCGTTCCTTTATCATAAAAATTGTGAAATCTAACTATTTCAGTAGGCTGGACATCGTAGAAGGTGGACGGTTTAAGCTGGGGAAAAGCCTAGGTTAAAGGAGGCAGGCATAGCTAAAACCAGCATGTATGTGTCGAAGTTAACTACCAGCAATTCGGGCGATCTTAGTAATTTTTAAGCCAATTGTAGCATCCAGATAGACTTTGGATGCCGAAGTGCCGAAGGCATATTGAATACAAAAAACAGGAAAGAATGAAGAAAGGAGGCAAAAATGAGATAAGACGTTTCGGTCCATTAAGTCACATACGTCTTAACAGTTCCATTAAGTCAATTAAGTCATATACGTTGCAACCCCCCTTATTCACTCTCTCTGAGAAACAAAGCAATCGGAAGTAGCCCGAGTGACAGCACATGAAACAGCAGGAACATTGGTGAATATCGGTGCTTACAAGCAAGCTGATGGCGGTTTCGACTCTCCGGGCATGCCAGTTTACCGTCGAAAGGAATGAATGATTCTTAGAGGGGGAATGGTTGTTTGAGTTTGTAGAGCTGAATCCTCAAAAACAGCGCTGCTTCTTACTCTGCCTTGTTGGCATGCCCTTAATGATGATAAAAATTTCAACGTGTTTTTTTTTCTTTTAAGATAATGCGAAGTTTATATCAGCTTATCGCGAAACTGTTCGAAAGAACGAAAAATTCTCCGGAAGGCTTGGATGAACTGGAGACAATCAATCAATTTGTAACAAAATTTATCAACGATACGTTCATAAATTATGAAAAGTAATGCTCTTTTTCGAAGAATTAAATAGTTTTAAAATGCAAATTGAGTTCCTCAGAAAAATGTGGAACGAGCTGGGACCCGTTGGAAAAAATGTAGAAAGAACTAGGATCCTTAAAAAAATGCAAAAAAATGTCATGTATTAGCCGACGTGTAGCTATAGTAGGAGACCCAAATTAGGTGAGGAATTTTGCGGCTTATAGAGATGAGAATTCTTAAGGAGCCAGTTCCCTCATTAGAGGAGCATTTAGCGTTTAGTGAGATCTCCTTGATTTATGTTAAAATTCATCAATTAGTTTAGAAAATTGCCGTTGCAGGATGGTGATAAAGTACGTAGAAGGCAGGAAAAAATATTTATATGAAGTTATGACGCCATACGGTGTTTCAGTATTTCGGTACAAATTTAATTTTTATGTTACTTGATAACTTGAAATGACTACTGGTCCACCGTTGATTGATAACTGGGAAGCGGCAAAGAAGATGACGATGTTTTAAATTACTTTTTTTTTACAATATAAATTGCGATACACCAGTTTTTTTTTTTTTTTTGTTTTTTAAATCATAATAAATCAGATTTCTTCATAAAATTGGAAATTTTTTATAGAAGCACAACTCATCCAATGAATGGCGTATTTGGAGCAATTCATTTACTTCGAGGTATCTGTAACATACAACCAGCCTATGTCGATACGATGTGCCTAAATTCGTTCATCAAAGCTCTCCAGAAACTCGTACGTGAACATATCTCA